AAGAACTTACGGGTGATTAGAATTCCAGAACAGGAAGAGACAAGCACAGATAAAATTGTCAAAGAGTTGTTGGAAGAAAATTTCCCTAACATCCTGAAAGATAAGAAGAAAAGCATACAAGAAGTTGAATGAACCCCAAACAGAATAGATCCCAAAAAGAAAATCACCAAGACATATCATAAACTTTCCAAAATCAAAGATAAGGAAAGACTTCTGAGAGCAGCTTGAGAAAAATAAAAAGTTACCTACAAAGGAGAAGCAATAAGACAACGCTCTGATTTCTCAGCAGAAACCATGTAGGCAAGAAGGCAATGCGATGGCATATACAAAACTCTGAAAGAAAAAAACTGCCAACCAAGCAAAGCTGTTCCTCAAATATAACAGCAAAATCAGGACATTTCCTGATAAACAGAAATTAAAAGATTTGTAATGACCAGAGCAACTTTACAAAAAAATGCTAAAGGGTGTTCCTAGGACTGAGAACCAACAACAGCAGACAACCACCTAAGATTACCGCACATGACAACACCACCCAGAACTTAATCCAGATATTGAAGTATTTAAAGTAAAACAAACTTACAAGACTGAAAATAGGGATCCAGAGATATCAATGTATAATGAAGTCAACTACAAAGGAAAAAGAGGGAATAGTGTAGATACAGAATGTCCAAATGGTAAGGAAGTCAAGCAGATTTCAAGATAAAAAAGACTGTAGTAAGCAGGGGAAAAGTAACAATTTACAGGTTAGTCTCAAGAAAATGAATATACCTGTACATCAAACTTTTTTAAAAAATGGAAAATCAAAAAGATTTCGTAAACATTCACAAAACAGAAATTAAAATGAAAAGAAAATCTAAACACAAAATGAACTCAGCATAGAAAATTATGTGGGGTAAAGAATTCAGCAGCACCACTCACGCATATACACACACACACATACAAAACAACACACAAACATACAGAAAATGACAGCAATCAATTCTGATCTGTTGATAGTTAACACTGAATGTAAATGGATTACATGTACCAGTCAAGAGACATAAAGAGCAGAATGATTACGAACACAGGATCCTTCAATATGCTGTCTACAAGAGCCACATCAAAAAGATGGAGACAGACTAAATGCCCATAAGCAGAATGGTTAAATTAACTTTGGTATATACACACGATGGAATACTACAAAACGTTCAAGAATTAAGGATGAATCTGTGAAACACCTCACAACATGACTGAACCTGGAGGACATTATGAGTGAAATTAGTCAATCACAGAAGGACAGACCTTATATGAGACCAATGTGGTAAAAAGTTAAAAATAAAAAAAAGTTTTATTGATAAAATAAACAATCTATTATGGTTAGAGGGGTATTATTCATGGGCTAGAGGTGACAGAGCAGATAATATACAACAAGAGGGAGGGTAGCAGAGAAAAGATGAAGGTACCAGGAGACACAGGGAGGAATGAAATAGTTAAAGTGAAAGGAGGTAAATGTTGTTTACTGTTGGTACATGCAGGGGATTGTAACCATGTAATGAAGCACAGTATATAATTTGTTGAATGTAAAACATGATCTGCTCTGTAAATCTTCATTCAATTCACAATAAAAAGTTTTTAAAAAAAGAAGCCCAGATACCTCCAGGATCCCTCAAAGCTAAGTAATAGTATAACTGCTGACCCAGGGGAATCGGAAACCAAGTGCACTGCAAATAATAACAGTGTTATGTCATAAAAACGGTTCATGGTATCTTCTGAGGTGGGACATTCCTACTTGAAAAGACATACAGACTAACCCGGAATGGGCAGAAGAACAGAAGGTACTTTTGAAAGAAAGACCAGCAGACAAAAAGCAGACTGTTTGGCTGTTAAGAGTATCAAGCAAGCTGTTTGCCTTGGAGTCATCTAGGCAAGAAAAGTCAGCCTATCAGGAAAAACCCCTCTACGTCTAAAACTCACAGGGAACACATGACCAGCCTAGTATGCTCACTGGTGATTGCCCTGGTCTACTTATGAGTGGAAGTGGAGGAAATGCAGCAATGAAGACATGGGCTGAGTTCGGCCATGTTCCACTGACACCTGTTGACCTTGAGATAAAAGAGAGAAGAGGAAGGGCTGGCTGGTCCAAAGTTTAAGGAGATGTGTGAACTCCCATGTTCATGGACACTGGCCTAGCCACTGGGGGCTAGAGGTGAGAGTGAAGCGGCCAACTGGTCTGAAGTAAGGGGAAGCGTGTGAGAACTGCCAAATTTGTAAATAGTACCCATCTGATCTAGGTTAGATGACTAGCTGGCTAGAACTCTACCAGATGAAGATAAAGAAGTTTGATATACTGGGAGCAAGCTTAAATTGCTACAATTTGTTGAACTGGGCCTTTGCTTATGGATGCAGTTGCTCAAAGTTCCAACCGAAATGGAAGGATTCTTCCTACCATGGATCAAGCTTGTTTCCTCAGTGTACTGGGCTAATAGGGACGGGCAACTTAGGTACTGGCTATCAAAAATGGGGGGCTACACCAGAGATGGAGACAGAGATGAGGACATGGAGAGACAGAGCAGCTGAGGACTCTAGACTCATGAAAAGAGAAAGGTTGAGTGCTGGCGGCCAAAAGGCAGGTTTGCAGAATGTGTCCTTTGGTTGTTTAAACAATTATATTTTCCTGAGTGTTTTTGTGTACATTTCCCCAAAAAATACACACAAAAACCCAGAAAATAGAAGCAAATACTGTTGAAGGATGATGCACGGAGATTGTAATCATTGCAATGAAATTATGAGTGAAAAACCGATGTTCTCCCATATAAACTATCACTCAATTCACAATAAAAATTTTAAAAGAAAAGAAAACATGGGGGCTATTAAAGGCACGAAGTTTCTGGCTTACAAACTTTCACAAGTGTGCTTAGTTTCAGACCGAGAAGGGTAAGGTAGAATCCGCACTGAACAGTTTTCCTCCTTTCCAGATGGATCTGCTGAAAGGGCATGGGGGGTTAATGGTGACAGGATTTTATGATTTAATGGTGAGTAATTTGGTATCAGGATTAATTGTGATAGTCACAACTGTAACTGTAGGAGATGTATAACTAAAAGGGGGGAGTAGTTAAACTTCCATTTCAGAAAGAGAGGGCCCCAGGACCATTAAGAAGGAAGAACATGAGTGGAGCATGAGATCCTACCTAGAAAAGGAGAGGCAGAGGGGATGACATGGAGAGATAGAGCAGCTGAGGCCCATGAACTCTAGGCCCATGAACTGAGAAACGCTGTGTGTCTGTGGGTAGGAGGCTGGCTTGCAAAATGTGCCCTTTGGACACTGAAATGAATGTATATTTTTTATTTTGTATGTATATATTTAAAAAAAAAAAGCAACCCAAAACCAAAAACAGGTTCGTGGGTAAAGTGAGTTAGGCCAGACCTCCCTATTGGACAGAAGTCTTTCCTACTCTGTACTTTAACAAGATCCAGCTCTGAATGGCACCCTTACCTGGACCATGCAAGACTATGGAGAACACCCTCCTACCTACAGTGCCAACACTTTTTAAAACTTTCTTTCTTTTAATATTTTACTGTGAATTGAGTGAAGGTTTACAGAGCAGATTATCAGTTTTACATTCAACAAATCATAGACTTCGTTTCATCTTGATTGCGATTCCCTCAATGAAACATCACTTATTCCACATTCCCCCTGTGTTTCTTGTTTCCATTCCTCCTTCTTTCCCCATCCTGGGACCCTCTAATGTGTCCCTTTTAGAGTAGTTGGCAATGGAAGCAGGGCACTGTCTAGCTCTGGTCTTAGGGTCCTGGAGACTGATGTTCACATGGCCCATTAGGCCACTGGATTGAGTGTTTCCAACCATCTCCAATTCTCATTGCTCTTCTTTCCTCCAAACAAGCAGGCACTATTACTTGCACCTTAGATGGCTGCTCATCAACTTTTAAGATCCCAACTGCTACTCATCAAAGTAGGAAAGCAAAACATTGTGTTTGTGGACTATGTTATGCCAATTAGCCATTGTTGCTGTTGTCAGGTGCCATCGAGTCAGTACCGACTCATAGCGACCCCATGCACAGCAGAACTTAACAGTGTCCGATCCTGGGCCAATCTCACTACTGCTGCCACACTTGAGTCCATCAATGATGCTACCTGGCTGATCCATCTTGTTGGGGGTCTTCCACTTTTTCTCCAACCCTCCATCTTACCAAGCATGATATCTTTCTCCAGCGACTGTTCCCTCCTGACAATATGTCCAAAGAATGAGAGACGAAGTTTAGCCATCTTGGCCTCCAAGGAGCACTCTGGCTGCACTTCTTCCAAAACAAATCTATTGGTTCTTTGGCAAATTAACCATTATGTCCTCTGATTTTATTTCTGCCAACCTGTGCCTTCTTTTAGCCTCTCCTACCTCAAAAGGAAGCACATTTTGTGGCCTTCTGGAGCTCATGGTAAGGGGTTGCTCAGCACCCTGAAAAACAACCTCTCCCTTCCCAGAAGGGCTCTTGTGTGTCCTGGTATTTAGAAACCCTCGTATCTTAGAAAAATAAGAGAGGCAGCAGCACATGTGTCCTCCCTTGAGCTTGCCCTTTAATTCTGGACAAAGACAAAGATTAAGGGCTGGGGTAATTCCAAGGAATTCCCAAAACCTGTTTTTAGGTTGCACAGTTAGCCAGAGTTCTTAGGGACCTTGGTGATGGCTGCCATGGAAAATAAAGAAAAAAAAAGTGGGTGGCAGCTTTTTTTCCCCTCAGCTCCTGTCATCCCTGGGCAATGGCTAGTGAGCTGGGCGGAGATGTGGCCTCTCTGAAAGCTATATTCTTCTGCCTTCAGGCCTGCCAGTCTCCCCAGTTTAAGGTGTCATGACCTGGCTTTGCTGCCAGGCCAGCTCACCAACAGCCCCCATGACCACTTGGGAGGCCTATGAAAGCAAGAAAAGAAAGTGAGGCCAGTAAAAGTTGCCTCAAATTCCCCAGTAGATAACTGAATGAGACAATTTCTTACGGAAACCAGCACTTACTGTGAGTGAAGTGAAGGTCATGCACATCCCACCAAAGCCATTGAGAGACAGGGAGATGAAGATGAGCACAGAGAGAGCTGTAGGGAAACAGAACTCTCATGAGGGGACCACAGATGAGCATCACGAGACCAGAGCCTGCCCTGTACCCTGCATACAGCAGGCACCCAATAAAAGTCAGTGGAATGAATGGCAACCCACTGGGGGCAGGTGGTGGTTGGTAAGTGTTGTCAAGTCAGTTCTGACTCATAGGACCCTGTATAGGGTTTCTGAGTAGTGGCTGGTGGGTTTGAACTGCTGAGCTTACAGTCAGCAGTTCAATGCTTATCCTACAGCGTCACACCAGGACCCCCAGCAGAGGTTAGTGACTGACAATTGAGGAGGTAGAACTGACTCTTCCCCACCCTTCTCCTTCAGCTGATTTCATAGAGCTTGGGCTCTTGCAAAGATACATTCCTGTTCTGCTTTATCTGCCAACCTCAGCAGCAAGCAAGAAGCATGAAGAAGCTGCCTGACTCAAACCTAAAATGCAGGTACCTGAAAGTTGGTAGATGAGCGTGGCCAAGATTCTGGGGAAGCACAAGTCCTATTTTGGCATTTGTTCTAAAAATCCTTGAAGGAACAACTCCACCTGAGCAGACTGAGGTTCAGGGGACAAAATCAGGTGGCTTCTAAGCCATCTTTAAGTTACTGGCCTGGGCTGATACAAGAGGACTTGGCTCATGCAAAGAGAACAACCATGCAGCCAGCCTGGTTCTGGATCATTCCTCAAGCTAGCATCATGAGACCATCAGGGGCAGGCCTGGCTTGGCAAACATCCTGGGTACCTCTCTCTTACCCAGCCACCTGTTTGAGGTACACAGCTGAGTACTGGTCTAACAGATTCCCTTCTAACTTGAGCAGCTTCTGAGAACAGGTGGGCCTGGGAACACTGCTGGGTCACCTCTCCCCATCCCGAAACAGCGTGAGAGATGCAAGTACTCACAGTTTGGGTTACTTGCTCCATATGCAATCATCAAGCAGGAGACTGCAAAGCAGGCACTAAAGGCAATAAAAAAATAGTACTTTATTATTGTTGTTGTTATTAGTATCATTTTGTAATATTTACTAAATGTCAGAGACGGAGAAATTTACATACATTCTTTCATTTAACTGAACAACATCCTAAGGCATATGACTGGCCCCATTTTACAGATGGGAAAAATCAAACTCAGAGGATTCATGAATTTCTCTAAGGTCTTCTAGATAGTAAGTGGCTAAGCTGGAATTCAAGGGGGTACTACTGGTGGAGTAGTAGGTTATGCGTTGGGCTGCTAACCACAAGATCAGTAGTTCAAATCCACCAGGCTTTCCACAGGAGAAAGAGAAGGCTTTCTGCTCCCATTTACAGCCTCGGAAACTCTATACAGAGCTGTCCAGAGTCAAAAGCAACTCAATGGCATACAACAACAACAACAACAAGCTGGAACTCAAACCCTAAAGGCTAATCTCATAAATACCCCACTGCTCTGTCCCTCCCACCCCAGGCTGCAGGGGGTACCACTCCTTCCTTAGGCTCCTCTGCCCACTTAGCCAGGGCATGGCAGTGTCCACTGGGCACCAGGAGAGAACAGCTGCTCCCCAAGCCCTTCCACTTGGGTCTACCCTAGAAACTAAGGCCTCTTCAGCTTGAAAGAAGGACTCTGGTCCCATCTGCTACCTTCCCAGAAGCATCACTCCTTGCAACCCACTGCCCTGAAGAGTCAATGCCAATGGGACCTGGGTGGGGGACTATGGCCTGAGAGGGCCAGCAGCTTGGTGAAGTGACCCTGGACCTGGCAGACTGCAACTGTATAGAGCTGGGACATACACTCCAGAGGGTGAACAAGATGCTCCATTAGGATGCCACGGGTAGGTCAAATCTTAAGGCTTCTATTTGATCATTTAAATTTGTTTTTCATTTGTTTGTTTTTATTTCTGCATATGCATTTGTGTTTTAGTGAATTATTTAATGTCTCTTCTAGCCATAGTTTGTAACTCCCACCAACAATATTTTTGTCCTGCTGGGAAGAGAAGGGTGGGAGAAGAAACTGACAGGATGTCATGATTCAGCTGTGGGTGTTAACAGAGTTCACTGTAATAGTAAACACGTGAAACTCTAGCATGGGTTTAAATGAGCCATAGTAGACGCAGAAGACGAGGATTTCACTACCATCAGAGAAGTGATGGCGGTTATGCGCCGTGGAGTCGGTTCCGACTCATAGCGACCCTGTACAGGGTTTCCGAAGCTGTAAATCTTTACGGGAGCAGAAAGCCTCATCTTACTCCCATGGAACAGCTGGTAGTTTCAAACTGCTGACCTTGTGGTTCACAGCCCGATTCATAACCACTACACTACCATCAGAGAAGAGGAACCAGGAATGGAGCATATCCTTTGGTCTTTGAGGTCCCTGAACATTGAACCTCCTTGACCCAGGGCCAGAGAGCAGTGACACCGGAAGCATGGCAGAGGAACAGCAACAGCAGGACCAAGAATCAGAGCACGAGAAGGAGCAGTGGACTTCCTAGCCCATGAAGCCGGCAAGGCTGAGTGGGCAGGAAGCTTGCTTGTAGAATGGGGTGCTTCCCGGCACTTGAGTGTGGGAGCTAAGTTTGCTGACCCATGGAGCTAGAGTCCAATCAATGCCTTTAGGCTGAGGCTTACAGTGGAGTGGTGTGTCTATGGGCATTTATCAATGGCCGGTGTGGTACTGTCGGATCAACACTGAACTGTGAATCACAAGGTTGACAATTCAAACCCACCAGCTGCTTCTTGGAAACAGGGTCTCTATGAGTCGGAACCAACTGGACAGCACTTAACAATAACTGAAACAACTGTGCCCTGCACATTTCGGACCCCAAACTGTAACCTATTAACTTCCCTGATAAACCCCATAACTGTGGGTATGGTGTCTGAGTTTTCTGGATTATGGAACCCAGTTGAGATGAGAGGGCTGGAGAGGAATGGTTGGGGCTTTTAATTTTTGCAGCATTCATTATAAAGCACATAAAGCAGTAAGAATGATGTGTATATGCAATTTATAATTTCACATATAGAAATTATTTATATAGAAAGTTGTTAAATGTCATGGAGTTGGAACAACGGTTCGAAATCATAGTGACCTTGTATAGGGTTTTCAAAGCTTTAGATCTTTTGCGGGAGCAAAAAGACTCATCTTTCTTTCTCCCACAGAGAAGCTAGTGGGCTCCATCCTCCAATCTTGTGGTTCACACTCCAGCGCTTATCCTATGGAGCCACCATGCTCCCTTACATCAAAGGTACATGTTTGATTTTTTTGGGCAGAGATACACAGTCAAAAAGATTTGGAACAGCAACAGATATTGGTAATGTTGCATTAACATAGTTGTTGGAACCGACAGAACTGTACAGGTAAAAAACGCCACCTTGGCAAATGTTGTGTTTTATATATTGTTGTTGTTGTTAAGCCAGTTCCAACTCATAGTGACCCTGTATATGGTTTCCGTGGAGTGGCTGCTGGTGAGTTTGAACCGCCAACCTTTCGGCTCAAACCAAGCTTGCAGTTGAGTGCTTATCATACAGTGCCAGACCATGACTCCAATGATTATCTTTGTAATTCAAAAAGAAAGGAGCTTTGGAAACTGGTGTTCTAAAATGACAAATAACTCTAGATCTTCCCAGGTACAGCTGAGGTCCCATACCTTCTCTATGCAATATTGGCACCTGGTGTGTATCACAGTACCTACAGATTCTAGGGCAGGTGGATGAACATTTGGGGAGCTCCACAGTGTACCTGAGAGCAGTGCCAGCATTCCCACAGTGAGGAATTCATCCCAGAGGATCCACCTGGCCTCCCCTGCCCCCAGGAACCTGCACTGACCTGCCCAGCAGCCGGAGTTTCCTCGGACCATACTTGTCCATAACGATGCCCAGGGGCAGGGTGATGGCACTGAGCAGGAAGGAGCCCACGGTGAAGGCCAAGTTTAGCATCTCATCCTGGGCCTTGCAACTGAGCCAGCCATTCATCCAGGCCACCTCCTCGTGGTCCTGCTCTGCTGTGCTTCCCATGGTGCCATTGGTGACATTCTCTGTGTATGAAGGGAAAGGCAAACATGACCCCCGGCATCCGGGCAGGGGTTCCCAAAGGTCAGAGGGGCAAGTGCACATTCAGAGTCACCCCACTGGGAATGCCGGGGCTGGATCAGACTGTCCCATAGCAGATGTAGCCACCTGTTTGGTCCAAGCCCCCTGGAGTCATAATGCAGAGCTTCTTAACTTTCGTGTGGATCACAGAACCTTGTTCAGGAAAACTCAATCAATAAAGCTGTGCTAACATGATTCATATCATTATTATACCACATTATACACCTGAAAAAGGGTTTTATTGGCAAATGTGTGTTATGCTTTAAAAGAAAGCTATACTCCTGTTTTCCAAAAAACGCACCCCAAGTCTTGACCACAATTTCACGGGCTTCATGTGTCTGTCCCTTGAGTCCCGGGGCGGGGGGCAGTTCCCATGAAAGAATAACCTATGCCTGAGAATACTGGCCTCTGAGTCCAACTCCAAGTCGGCTAGAACTTTCTCCACAGCATAGCCCGTGGGAACAGACCCTAGTCAGGAAGGATGAAGACCCTTGGTCACTCAAGAAAGCACTGCTGGTTTCACTACAGGGCCCTGCTTCTCCCCGGTCAGTCTGTGGAAGGACCAGTGGGCTGCCTCCCTCCTTTACTGCTGAGTACAGTTCTCCAACACAGTCCATATGCCATTGATAATGTCACGTCACAGCATCAACCACTACACATACTGTGCCTTAGAAGCTCTTCTGGAAAGAGTATTTTTGCTTCTGTTTTTAAGTTGTTGTTAAGTGTCGTCGAGTGGGTTCTGACCCATTGTGACTCTGTATAGGGTTTCCAAGGAGCGACTGGTGAGCTTGAACCACCAACCTTGCAGTTCAAGCGGCTTTACAGTCTGGCGCATTAACCCACAGTGCCACACCAGGACTCCTCTGTTTTTAAGTAGAACCAACTTATTTGCTGTCACTTGAGGTGCTTTCTGTGGCCACACCCAGACCCTCCTTAGATGCTGACCCTCCTGTCCTGGAGTGTCAGCCTGGCTTGTGTTGCAATCTCAGGCTTACTGGGTCCCTCCAAAGTCCACCCTGCACCATGACAACCACAAAAGGGGAGGAAAAAGTGCTGTGGCAGCTGAGAGCGGGCGGGTGGGGCACAGGCGGGAGGCTCAGAGGAGGAAGGCGGCTCTCCTCACTGGGGCTGCTAGTTAGAGATGCTGACTAACTCTGGAGAAATGGGAACAGCCTCTGATTAGACATGAGGTCACACCAGGATAGTCAAGGAAATACTTCTCTTCAGATAACAGCAGCTCCTGATTGTGCCCCTCACGTGCCAGGGCCATAAAGCTGAGGTTTGCAAAGCCCGGGCCTCCCAGGGCTGCCCCAAGGTCACAGAAAAGGGTGTCCTTTGGGTGAGTCATTCCCTATGTCACCCCTGAGCAGCAAGCCCTGCTACGCTGATTGATGGTGTGGTGCTGAGACCCAGCCTTTAGGTTCCAAAGTTGGTTCCTTCCATGTCCTACTTGTGTAGCCTTTCGAGAAGTGATTCAGTCTCGGCCTCTGTCTGATAATGGGCTTAAAACAACAGCAACTTCCTTCTGGAGTTTTGGAGGAGATTAACAAGCCAAACGCAATAATATTCCACAGCTCATGGGCAGAGACGGTGCTCAAAAAATAATAGTACACAGGGATTATTATTACTATTATTGAAAGTATGAAATGGAAATTGGCTGACAGCACCCAAAAAACACACTCACTGCCATCGAGTCGATTCCAAATCATTGTTGGATTTTGTTAAGTGCCATCGATTCTATTTCAACTCATTGCAACCCTAAACAACAGGGCTTCCAAGACTACAAATCTTTACTGGAGCAGACAGCCTCATTTCCCAAGGATCCTCTGATGGGTTTGAACTGCTGATCTTTTCATTTGGATTAGCAGCCCAATGACTAACCTACAGCACCATCAGGGGTTGGCGGCACAGCCAGGTATAACAGTACCTGGGAGCACAATTCTATTAACCTGAGTGTTTGGGAACAATGGTATGTGTGGATTCTCCTATGGGCTATCGGGCTATGAGCCCTTAAAAAGACAGCGGCTGCATTCTAGAGACTGGGAGCCCCCAGCACCTGGCTCACAATGCTTGTTTACTGAATGAATGAAAACAATGGAACCAAATCACAATGGCCAAAAGGATCAAGAGAAGAAAGGAAATGGGACATGTGGCACCATGGTGAAGATTGTTATTGTGAAGTGCCATCAAGTCCATAGTGACCCAGTATAGGGGCTTCCAAGGGGCAGCTGGTGAGCTTGAACCACTGACCTGGCAGTTCAAACTGACTTTGCAGTCTCATGCATTAGCCCACAGCACCACACCAGGACTCACTCCATGGTGAAGATAGAGAGGATTTAAGGAGATTATAGACACAAGGACAACCACCTGAAGCTACACAAACAAAAGCCTTAACATGCCAGATTTCCCTCACTTCCTTTCGGTTTTCCGTAAGAGGCTCCACCTCGCTGGCAGCCAAACCACAGGGTCAACAGGGTCCTGGAGCCCATGCAGCTTCAGCTGGGGACTGTTACACCCCCTGCCTTGACTGACAGGCCTGAGCTTCGTGTCCACTCCAGGTGCCTTCTGGAAAGGAGAGCTGCTTCACAGGTTGGAGCTGGTTTCAGAAGTAGCTCTGCCAGCAGCAACAGGAACTGGCCCTCAGGTGGGGGATGGAGTTGGCACAGCCATGGCAGTTTCCAGGTCGGTGTGCAGATAGAAGCAAGCCAGCTCAGAAGGGACAGGAGTCAGCAGATGGGGGTGGGGGGTGGGGGATGGGAAGGGCCTGAACCACAGGTTTATGAGGACTACGGTGGCTGTACCAATTTAGAACTCGGGGCCTAGAATGGTGCAGGGAGTTTCCAGGGTGGGGAATGGAGAATGAGCAGCACTCTATGCGGGAGAAACGTCATGGGGTCCCCCAACTCTCCCAGAGAACAACCACAGTTGAGACCCTAAATCGGTAACTTCACTCTTTCAAGAGAAAACTAAAGCTTAAGGCCACGCACCCAAGGCAAGTCTCCATGACAAGCTAGGATGGAGTTGGAAATGTCTTCAGTTGTTTAGAGATCTGGTCACCCCTGTAACTAGCCACGATCTGGGGACTTACTCAGAGAGGTCAGGGTGGAGAGAAGGGTACCTGTTCTTCCTTCATACACAAGGTACCCCGGGGAGCTTGCACTGTAGGCACAAGCCTTACCTCCCTAAACAAATTCCTGCCAGCAGGGCCACCCGGTCTGCTGCTCTGGGCAGTGAGGACCATCTGCAGATGAGCAGGCAGCTGATGAGCTGCTACACTTGTCTTCTCATTGAGCAATGACGCCAAGAGTGTCTCTTGCTCCTGGAAGGAAGCAAACGCTTGGTGTGCCCAGGACTTAGTTGCAGTACAGCACACTGGAACAACCAGAGTCAGCAGATGCCCAAACACAGTCCCACCCAGACTTCTCCACTTTCGGCTCCACCTGGGTCACTGAGACACAAACAGAGCAGCACCCAAGAAGGGCCAAGTCTGTGGGAGAGGGTCTGCTGCTTCCGGCCTAAAGCTCAGCCCTCCTCCAGCCCAAGCTTCCCTGTTCTCACCTGCATCTGTTTAGTATAAACAGATGCCTCTGCCCTGGGCAGCTAGAGCAGCCCAGCCAGGCAGGGATGGTGAAACAAGAAGACAGACAAGGAGCTGGTGTAGCTGGAGTGTGCGGAGAACAGGAACACAGCTGCTTAGGGGCAGACCTAGGGCAGGGAAGGAGAACAATGCCTTGCACTGTTTGCCCCACTCACAGAAGACTTGCAGGCACACACAGTCCAGGGAAAGCAAGGGAGGGAAGGGGGTGCCTGGACCCCACTCAGGCACTGGCAAGTCCCTAGGTCAAAGAAGGGGTTTCCCTTCCCACTCATTGTTCCTGGGAAACAAAGGGAACAAGGAACCTGCAGAATAGCTGCCTGAAGATGCTTGAAAAGGAGCAAGGGTGGGGTGCCTGGCTGGGGGCCCCTCTGTATTCCCTTCTCTGAGTAGCTGCATACTGAGCCCTCCAGGGGGTGAGGCCCAGCCCCAGGATCTCCTGTCTCTCTCCAACCCTTAGTCTATCCGGCAACAGGAAGCAGCATCTCAGTCCAGCAGGGGAGATGTGGGTGAGAGGTCGGCCTCAGGCCCAGTGCAAACAAATGGCAGGACCCCACCTGCTATCGTGGCCACAGCAGTGACTGATGTGTGCTGGCCCTGCGTTCGCTCAACGTTGCTCGATCTCCTTGTTTCATTTAGCCCCCCTTCCCTGCCACTGTCCACATTGCTGGGTGGCTCAGAGCAGGCAAGCCGCTTGCCCCAGGTCTTGAAGATGGTACGTGAGAAATTGGGATTTAGATCCAAGCTGTGGATCCTGCACTTCTTGCCTATAACTAAGCTTCAGGCTGACCCTGATGCTTCAATGCAAGAGAATGAAGACAGCAAAAGGCTCTGTCATAATGTGAGGGGCAATACCAGCCGACCCTTCCTATTACCCAGTGAGAATGGGATGGCTCCAAGACGCCCCACAGGGTTCTGGAAGCCAACCTAAGCTAGACAGAGTTTTGGGGGGGGGGGGGGCACCAAGATGTCAGGTGGAGCCTGCAGGTGTGGGCAAGGGAAACTACATTCTGAAATGTGAAGACAGGAAGGGTGGTGGGGAGAGCCAAGGGCACTTGCCCCTCCCTATAACACACCTGAGACTGTGGGCACAAGGCTGTAAACCCTTTTGCCCAGCTACAGAATTCCTTTCTTTTTAAATAAACTGGAAGGAAAAAAAATAGTACAATCATATTCACAGCCACAAAAGTAAAAGGACAGACTTTCAAATGCTATAAACCACTGGCTTCTGCGTGTGGGAAGGACCATAAAAGGGAACACCTCAGAGCAGTGGTCAATGTCCCTGGTCCACACCTGCAGCCTGGGCCCACCTTCCCCTCTCAGGGATGCAGGGCCACCTCTCTGCTGTGTTTGAGGGTCTGCCCCACAGACAGGGTGATTGCATGAGTCAAGAGCTCAGAGCTGAGATCTGTCTGTATGTCTGGCCGGACTTCTCACCTTTATAATTCCCTACGGCAGTTCTGCAGGAGAAAGATGAGACGTTCTGCTCCCATAAAGACTGACAGCTTTGGAAACCCTATCCAGGGTTGCTGTGAGTCGGAACTGACTCCACGGCACACCATCATCACCACCACCACCACCACCATCACCTCCAACATTCCTCGTCAGCCCAGAATGGCAAAAAAAAAAAATCCAAATCTAATTCCAACATGTGGTCACCTTTGTATGCTGCAGAGTAGAACTGTGCGCCACAGGATTTTTCAAAGGCTGTGACCGACTTTTCAAAATTGATAGGCCTGTCTTTGGAGGCACCTCTGGGTGGGTTCGAACTGCCAACGTTTTGGTTAGTAGTCGAGTGCTTAACCACTTGTGCCACACTCCAGAATGTGGCAATCCTTCAACAATTCCTACGTCCCTCACAGATAAATCTTAAGCTCTCCACTGTCTCCAAACTTTGTTCCTGCCCTGAGAATAAAATCCAATCTCTCCCTGTGGCCTTCCCTGCCCTGAAGGCCCTGACCCCTTCCCACCTCTCCAGTCACCAAAAGCCACTGAAGTTACCCCTCCTGGCCTCCTCAACCCTCCTTTCCTGAATCACTCCATCTTCTTACATTTCAGGTTTCAGAGAGGCCCAATCCAAACCAGATCCCCCTGTTGTTCTGACTCTTGGCACTGGGCTTTCATGGAGCCCAGACCTGAAGCAATACAGGTCTGTGTTTAACTGGCAGGTTGCAGAGTCCCTGAGGGTAGCACCTTGATAATGTTTACTGCATGTGTCGGTTAGGTGGCCACCACTCAATGGTCAGTTTGTCATACTGTGGTGGCTTGCATATGGCTATGATACTGAAAGCTATGCCACAGGTATTTCAGGAAGTGTGAATCCTACTTTATGCATCTGCTTGCCTGCTTTATTTATTCAGGCTTCCCTGCCCTTCCATACACATTTGAGGATTGGCTTTTCCATCCAGCAAACCCCTGTTATTTCAAATACCAGCAGGGTCACCCTTAGTGGACAGTTTTCAATAACTTCCAGAATAAGACAGCCTACGAAGAATGATCTACGAAGAGTCACCTACTGGTGATATACTTCCTAAAAGCAGCACATGAAAACAGAATATTGTCTGATATAATGCAGGAAGGTGAGTCCTCCACATTAAAAGACACTCAAAATACACAGTGGCCACTACTGGAGACTCCAGTAGACCAACAACCATGAGAATAGTACAGGACTGGGCAACGTTCTAGTCTGTTGTTCAGGGGGTTACCGTAAGTCGAAGACAACAGCAGGTTAGATGAAAGAAAAGATTAAACAGCTACAGGTACCACCGTGCCCCAGAGCTGACACTGTCAAAGTGGGCCATTGGATGAGAGGGAAATGAAGAAAGAGGTCAGGCGTGGGTGGTAAGAACAGCCATCCCAGAGGCCAAAAGGGCACAGCCCTGGGAAAACCCCACTCTTCCCAAGCTGGGGACCCACTGGTTTCTGATCCACACCAGTGCTCTTTGTAGATATCTGGTGGGCATCATGCAAAGCCTACCAAAAATGCCCAAACCCAGTTCCCCAGACTCTGCCCCAGTCTGCTCTCCTGATTGTCTAATGGGCAGGGTAAATTCAGCTGAGGTGTAACAGAAGAATGGGCTAATTCTTCCCTTCAGCCACCTCTCTGAGCTGGAACTCAACACTGTTGTCTGTGGCCTGGTGTCCTGAGGAAGATGAATCTTCCTCAGTTCAGTTCAAATTTCAAGTTCAGGCAAATTTTCTTTAGAAGACAAATCAAAGCCTCAGTCCTGAAAGCAACCCAAACCTGACAAATCTGCATCTCAAGCAGCTGTTGACAGGTCAGTTTTTCCCATGTGGAATTCAATCATTTCAATACAGGACCCAACTGCTTCTCTGCAATTCAACCATCTACCCAGTTCGAAAGTGTGAGGTTGCAGCAGAAACCATGACCCCATATCTGCCTAGCACTCCCAGACAGTCAAGGGGCAGGGATTTCTGGCCCCCAAAACAATAGATTACACAGACTCCAAGAAGCATGAAGCAAGGAGCAAGGAGACCAGAGATAAGCTGTGTGGAATCAGCAGGCCTTCCCACCCAGGGCTCTGGGTCAGCGAGTTGGCTAGATAATCCGGAAATCCAAAATCAGAGACAGGAGCAAAGGCGCGTGATAAGAAGTTGATGTTCAACTCACAACCCTGACCCTTCACCTTCACTTTAGTTTACAGAAGAGACCCATCAAGCCTCTCAAGGGCTTAAACACCAAGTCAGCACCAAGTCAGCACCCCTGAACACCTCCCACTTACCCGAAGGCAGGGACAAGGGTGAAGCAGGAACCAAGTGCCCATCCTCAAGGTTGCCAATATCTTAAAATAAATGAACCCTTAGCATCCAATCTTCCCAACTCCACAGTGGGTTAAAAAAACAAAAAAATCTAACCACAGTAGTCTTCTGGTCAGGACAAAATGTTTAAGGCTTCATTTGGGGATGATGATTTTTTGTTTTTGTTTTTCTAGATCCCTCTGTGAAGCTTGAAAGGAACCCTCATGGTGTTATAGATTAAGCATTAGGCTGCTAACCAAAAGGTCAGTGGTTTGAACCCACCAGGAGAAAGATAAGGCTGCCCACTTCTGTCAACTTAGGGTCTCAAAAACCCTAAGGAACAACTTTACTGTCTTACAGGGTCATTATGAGTCGGGATTGGCCGACAGTGGGTTGGGTTTGGTTTTAGGTACAGCCTAAAGGAGTTTTTGGGTGGTAGAAATGGTTAAGCTACTAACCAATAGGTTGGCAATTCAAATTCACCCAGAAGAAAAGCCTGGTGGACTGCTTTCAGAGATCAGTCTTGAGAATCCTGCGGATCGCAATCCTCCGCTGACACACAGGCAGTTGCCATGAGTTTGAATCGACTGGATGGCAACAGGTTTTTTTTGTTGTTGTTGTGTGTTCAGCCTGAAAGCCCATCAGGTAAGCAAGCAGGAAGGACCATGCTCTAGAAGGTAGGAAAAAGGGAGAGCGAGGAGTCCAACACTCCAAATCTGTTCCTTTCAGAAAAGTCATTAATCTGACATCTCTTGGGCAAAGCAGAAAGTTTGTTCAGGGAACAAGGTCTGCCTCTCCCATCTCCTAAGATTTCTTGCTGATGTGGGGAAAGACCTGCCAAGAACCCTTAGGCTATTAGGAAATATCTTTGAGTGGCTAAAGGCTAAAGGTCATAAATGATATACTTTTTGCCCTTTCCTAAGCAGCCTCCATGTCCCCTCCTTGCTCCTGGCCCTTAACCTCTCAGGCTAAGTTTCTCTGGAGACTGAGACACTCAGGAATCTCCCGGGCAGATGAGAGAAAGGAACACGGGAGGATTCTTTATAAAAGTTACAAACAGCATGAGCAGCTCCAAAGCTTGTTCCAACTGAGCAACACCAGAAAGACAAGGCATACTGGTGGTGGTTCAAGGGGTCAGCCATGTCCACCTAAGGTGGCTAGGGCTGGGGCTGGCAGACAAAAGCTCTGGGGAGAGAGAACATGAAACCCTATATAGGGTTTCTAAGGAGCAGCTGGTGGGTTTAAACTAAAGTGTCGCATTAGGAGGCCAAACTGCAGCAGTTAGGACCCTCAACAGTGGGACAGACAGGGTAGGCACGGAGGGCAGGTTTCACATAGTCACATATCTTGGCCTGCCTTCAGCAACAGCAGTCGTATGACAAAGGGTAGGGGACAGACCTCTATCACTTCCCAAAACGCCCATCTTTTTCCTCCCCAGCCTGGGCTGAAAACGAGATGGTTTCACACACAGCCTTTGGGAGGAAAATTTCTTTGGAGAATCATAAAGCAGCAAAAATAGACAAGAAATTGCATCTGGCAGGCCCTGAAGAAACTCCATAATGGCCTGACAGAAAAACATCTAGATTCTAGAAGCACCATCTTGGGGTGGAGGGGAAGCCACTTCCTCTCTCTTGCTGCAGCCAACCACTGAGTTCAGAGTTCTGTTTCTTTCAACTTACAGATTTCTAGAATCAGGCCTGAAACATATTTATGAGGGGTCTACTTCGTGCAAGGCAATCCAGCAGATCTTTGGAGGACAGACTCTAACCATGTTCCTATCTAGTAAAAAAGAACCTTGGACTTGAGTTTGGCTTTGGTCAAGTCAGATCTCTCTGAGCTTCAGTTTCTTCATCCACACAATGGGGGCAAAGACATGTACTTAGCAGAGCTCGGTGAAGATCACATGGGCCTTTTGCCAACCCGGAGGCGCTGCGCACGCAGTGAGGTGGCACTGCTGTCGAGGTCTTCAAGGCCCATCCGCTCCCTCCCAAATCCCAACTTCAGGAACCACCCGAGTCCTATGCGCCCGTCTCTCACCTGGCTCAGTACACAGGTAGGAGTAAAAGCCCTCTGACTTGAGCATGATGAGCAGCGAGCCCCAGCCCAGGAGGACTGCTGAGAAGAGGAGGTTTTCCAGCACGGCCGTGCATGCCATCCACCAGCGGCGCCGATGGGCAGTGGCTAGGGTGGGCGCCATGGCGCGGCGCAGCACAGCGCGGCAGCCGGGCTCCGGCTCTGCAGCCACCTGCGTACAGATCTTAGCGTCAGAGCCCGCCCTGCCCCACCCGCTCGTCGGCCCCAGGCCTCCCTCCGCCGCAGGGCGCGGAACATGTCACCCTCCTGCAGCCCGGGCTGCAGGTGCACGCGGCGAAGGCAGCAAGCCCCAGCCCTGCTCAGGACCTGGACCCTTCGGAACCCGCAACTAGCTCTTATATCTGGCCTTGGCTAAGCTAGAGCCGCCCGGAAAAGACAGAGAGGCACACCAGTAAACTGAGGTATAGAAGCAGGAAAGAACTAACGCATGCTCAGGGGCTTGGAATTAGTACTGCTCCCCAAGCGGGACTGACATCACTAAGGAGCTGACATTGCAAACAGCTTGAAGTCCCGCCACCTGGGCCAGGGCATACCTGAGGGTTGCCACTCCCTCGGACCCTGACGGGCGCCTTCCCGCCCGCACTCAAGACCCTTCCTCAGAGCTAATTCTTTCAACCATAAGATCAGCGCACTGAGCTCCGGAACGGCCCGCCCACGGTCCGCTCATTGGCCTGACAGCACAGGAACTGCAGCTCCATTGGCCTCCGTCTAGGTCGCTAGGCGCTGCGGCCACGCGAACCCCGCATGGGCGAGGCGAAGCCGGTTCAAACCGGCGGCGCGAGCCATTAGCGGGAGCCCCCCCCCCCATCTCGGGCCATTACCTCAGCAATTAACCCGTTTCCATGGAAGCGGACCCCCGCCCCTCCATTCCCCAGCTCCCTCCTTTATTCGTCATCCTCCTCTGGTGGTTCCTCATCCGTCCAGTCTCTCCTCTCATATTCACACATCTTCTCTCTACGCCTCTTCTCATGCAACTTAAGTCCCCCCGCACCCCTACTAGGAGCCCAGATCCCCGAGTCCAGCTCACCGACTCCTACAGATGTGTATCGGGCCCGCCCGGCGCCTTTTCTGCCCCCTTTTATTCCAGTCCTTTTATTCCGACCCCAAGATGAAAACACTGTTTCGTGCTGATTGGCTGAGAGGGAGCTGGAAACAGGCATTGGCCAATCAGCAACTACCCGCCCGCTTGGCGGCGAGCAGAAGCCGGTTCCGGCCGGACTGGGAGACAAACAAGAGAAGTGGGGGGGCCGGGGTAGCTGTGGCCAATGCCTCAGCGCTGCTGTTTTAAACTGGAGTCCGACCCTGACCGGGAACCCCCGGACGCATTGCCTCATCGCTTCTCCAGAACCCCACCCTAAAGCAGCCCTGAGTTGGATCTCCAGCTCAATGATGGTGTGCTCCCTGCGTTTCCCCGACTGCTCCCCGGCGCCCCTTATGCACCCAGCGCGACGCCCTCACTTCGCTCTCCGCCAGCAGTTTGCTCACTTCCAACTTCCCGTCAGACCTGAGCACCACACCTGTATGCTCTGGCTCCGCGGGGTGCCCGGGTCATTCCGCTCCCGCCGCCCCCCATTGCCTCCTCCGCATGTAGCGCTGCTATCCCAGCTGCTTCTGGCTTTGTGTTCTACTTCCTTACTCTGCTGCTCCCGACCTGGTCTGCTGCTTCTCTGATCTCCTGATTCACCGACCCTTTCCCCTGTTCTAAGTCTCATCTGTCTGTTCCCTGGAAGGTGCCCTTGAGGTTCTCCAGGTGGAAATCTGGGGGTATTCGTTCCATCCTCGAACGGTGTTTCCTCTGGTTCCGAATCCAGATACCGACCTCCCATCTCTCGCTCTCCTCTGTCCCCCCGGGGAATGCCCTCACCGGTCATCTGGATGCTCCCAGCCAAGTTAACCACTCTGTGCATGCCCTCTGTGCTTAGCAACCCTCATTCCCTTCTGCCCTATTCCTGTACGTCTCCTTCAGGTAAGGGCTTTCTGCAAGATAACGCAGCTCCAAGCTTCAAGCACGAGTCAAGCTCCCGGGAGAGCGCAAGGTCGGGAGGGCTCGGGCTCCCAGTCTGGTCTCCAAGCAAGATGGGTCTGCCCGGGCGATGGGATCGGGGCTCTGAAGCCTCAGTAGCGTCTACCTGATTCGAGGCACCAGCCTGACCTCAGAGGACTCCGGCATCCCCTAGATTCAGCTTGGTCTCCGGGGCAGCTCCCATAAGGAGTTCTGAACCCTAGGGCTGCAGAAGCCATCCCTCAATCCTAGCGCGCCCCCTGCTGCCGAGAACTGGCTGGACAGTCTTCAAAGGCAGCCTTGCTCAGACAGGCTTAGGGCACCTAACCGGTGACCTACCCACCCGGCAGAATCTCGCCCACGCACAAAATTTCCACCGCCACCTGACCAATCTTCACTCCTTCCGTCCTATAGACAACTGCCTGAAGGACTCCATACACACCTTACACACGTCTAGAATAATTGTTAAATGCCATGGAGTCGGTTCTGACTTATAGGGAACTGAACCGTAGGGGTTCCAAGGAGACCCTGATGAGTTGGAACTGCCGACCACGTGTGATTCAAACTGACCTTCAGTCCAGTGCTTACACTTCCCCAAAAACTATGCCTCCTCATTCTTTTTCAGGTGATAGTACCACTATCGACTGAAGTTAGATAATAAAACCATCCTTTCAACAAATGTTAGGCATTTACTGTAATTCCGCTCTCTCCAGCACCACCCCCATACAACCATAGCACTTAAGTATCTGTGCATCCAGCGTCCAGTCTCAGCGTCTTAAATCCATCCCCCACTCCACTCATTATCTATGAAAGACAAATCTGACCCATACCCAGCTGCTAAAGTCCTTCAGAAACTCATACCACTTATCCTGCAGGACAAAGTTCAAGTTCCCTAACTTGACCCACAGAAACTCCTGCCCAGAACCACCAGTCTCTTCCTCCCTGTGGAGGCTGCTGGACCGCCCTTGATCTGCCTTGGTCTTGGATACTCCAACCACATGGAATTGGTTGTGATTCCTGCTTATACTGTCGTCCTCACTTCTGACCCTCAGATAGTCAGTCAACTACCCCAACACCCTTCACATATCCCTAACTTTGTCTACTGATTGCAGTTTTATAATCCATTCATTCATTATAATCCATTTTGTTTGTCTCCTTGTTCTCCCATTGATTTAAGAACTTTTTGGGTACAGGAACTGTGTTTTAGTCACCTTTGGATTACCATCCCTTTAGACAGAAAAAGGCACAAAGCAGACATACATTATAGTTGTTGAATTAGAACATGAACAATGGGGCAAAAGGTACCAGCTTCAAAGACCACGAATTAAAAGGTAAGGATGGTAATGCCAATATCCAAAATCCATTTGCCATTAACTCTAATGGTAATCCTACTGTGTGCGGAGTCAAACTGTGTTTCATAGGGTTTTCAATGGCTGGTTTTATGTAATTAGATCACCAGACCTTTCTTCTGAGGTACTTCTTTGTGGACTCAACCCAAAAGGTTGGACAACAGCAGAAAGCATTACCCATTTACACCATCCACAGACTCCATGCCAATAATAATCACCTTTGTTGAAACTTAAAAA